TACAAATCATCAAGATAGAACATACAAGTTTGAAAAACCTTGCAGCAATTCATGCAATTATCTATTGCAAACCATAAAAATATTGACGCGTCAATCAAAAAACTGGAAACACAGGTCGGACAAATCGCAAAGCAATTGGCAGAGCAACAAGGAGGTACCTTCATAACCACACCTCAACCAAATCCAAAAGAACATTGCAAAGAAATCACAACAAGGAGTGGTAAGGTCTTAAATACAATCAGTAGCAAAAATGAGAAAAAAGAACAGAGTGTTGTTGAAAATAAAGAAGAAGTAGAAAAGAAAAATGAAGAAGAGGAGAAAGAAGAAGAAAAAATAAAAAGCAGTTAGTTGAAAAGGAGCAAGAAAAGGAAGGTCGAGATAAGAAAGGAATTAATAAAGGGCGGAAAATATGAAAAACAAGGGAAGAGAAGGGATAAATGATCAACCGTCGGCACAAAACCTACCTTATCCTCATGCTCCAACAGAAAAAGATAAAGAGAGGCAATACACTCGATTTTTGGATATCTTCAAGCGATTGCAAATCAATATTCCCTTTACGGAGGCACTTGAACAAATGCCTACATATGCCCGATTCATGAAGAAAATTCTCACTAAAAAAGGAAGAATTATTGATGAAGAGACTATACACCTTGATGCAAGCAGCAGTACAATCATTCAACGTGCACTTCCGTAAAAAGAAAAAGATCCAGGAAGGGTTATGTTACCAGTCACATTTGGTAACGTAAATGTTGGAAAAGCTTTAATTGATCTTGGCTCAATCACAAATCTTATTCCAATCTCAGTAATACGAAGAATTGGTGATATGGATATGAAGAATACTATGATGACTTTGCAACTATCCGAAAAATCAGTCACAAAGCCATTCGGTATCACCAAAGATGTGCTAGTCAAGGTAGATAAATTTCTATTTCCCATTGATTTCGTTTTATGGATATAGAGGATAATGATATGCCACTGATCTTGGGGCGTCTTTTGATGAAAATTGTACACATGATGATTGATATTGATGACGGTTTCATGAAAGTACGTGTTCAAGATGAAGAAGTCAGCTTCAACCTCTTTGACGCAATGAAACATTCCAATGACGAAGGAGCTTGTTTTAGAGTTGATACAATTGATGAGGAAATTCTAAAAGTAAGAATGTAAGCGCACTTGATAGCACCGTTAGAAAGAGACCTCGTGGATGTTTTTGATGTTCTTGATCCGGAGGAAGAAAAGGAACTCAATCAATGGTTAGCATATTTGGATTCAGCAAAATAAATTCTATTGAAAGAAGCAAAAATTGAAGGATTGAAAGAAGATTTCAGGGAAAAGAGCATCAAATTGGAATTGAAGTTATTATCGGATCACGTAAAATATGTTTTCCTCGATGAAGAATGCAATAAACTGGTAATAGTTAGCAAATTAATGGCCAGCCATCAAGAAAAAAAGCTCATTCAAGTTCTTAAGAAAAATCAAAGTTCAATAAGTTGGGTGTTATCAGATTTAAAAGGAATAAGTCCATCATATTGTATACACAACATCATGATGGAAGAAAATTTCAAACGAATTTGCCAACCATAGCGACGTTTGAGTCCAACGATGAAAGAAGTTGTACGCGAGGAGGTCGTCAAACTATTAGAAGAAGGTATGATTTATCCAATTTCGAATAGTGCTTGGGTAAGTCATGTGCAGGTAGTACCAGAGAAAAGGGGGTGTGGCAGTGATAAAAAAATGAGAAAAATGAGTTAATTCCAACTCAGACTATAACCGGGTGGCGTGTGTGCATTGATTATCGAAGACTCAATTAAGCAAGAATGAAAGACTATTTTCTGCTTCCATTCATGGATCAAATGCTGGAAATATTATTCGGGCATCAGTTCTATTGTTTCTTAGATGGATATTTTGGATACAATCAAATCACCATGAACCCCAAGGATCATGAGAAAACAGCCTTCACGTGTCCATTCAGTATATTCGCATATCAAAAAATTCCTTTCGGTTTATGCAATGCACCTGTAACATTTCAAAGAAGTATACAGGCCATTTTCTCAAATTTGATTGAAAAATGCATTGAGTTATTCATGGATGACTTCTCTGTGTTTTGTGAATCATTTGAATTATTCTTAAATAACATGGACACCATACTGAAACGATGTGTGGAAACAAATCTGGTATTAAATTGGGAAAATAAAATTTTATGGTGACCGAGGGCATTGTTCTTGGGCATAAAATTTTAGCCAAGGGGATTGAAGTGGATAAATCCAAGGTTGATGTTATTGAAAATCTGCCACCACCAACCAACATCAAAGGAATCCGAAGCTTCCTTAGCCATGACGAGTTTTATCGATGTTTCATCAAGAATTTCTCAAAGACCGCAAAGCCGTTAAGCAATCTCCTCAACAAAGACAGATCATTTATTTTTGATAAAGATTGTTTAATTGCTTAGTCTAAAAGAAAAATTGAGTACTGCACCCATAATCACCGCACTCGATTGGGAAATCAACTTTGAACTCATGTGTGATGCAAGTGATTACGTGGTCGGGGCTGTTTTAGGACATAGAAAAATCAAAGGTTTTCATGATATACATTATGCAAGCAAAGTGTTAAATGATATCCAAGTTAACTATGCGACCACGGAAAAAGAACTGCTTGCAATAATATACGCATTAAAAAAAATTGGTCTTATCTCATAGGGTCCAAAATTATTCTCTATACTGACCATGCAGCAATTAAGTACTTGATTAATAAAGTGGATTCAAAAACAAGGATAATCTGATGGATGCTCCTCTTAAAAGAGTTTGATTTAGAGATTTGTGAAAGAAAGGAACCGAAAAATTTGGTTGTGGATCATCTGTCACGGTTGGTAAATCCTCAAGTTACAATAGAAGAAAGAGAGGCCCTTGAGGATTTCCCCGATGAAAAATTTCTCATGATTGAAGAAAGGCCATGTTTTTCGGATCTTGCAAATTACAAGGCATCCAGACTCATTCCCGAAGATCTTAATAGAAAAAAAAGAAGAAATTCTTGCAGGATTCCATTCATTGCGTATGGGATGATCCATATCTGTTCAAAATCAGAGCCGATGGATTATTAGAGTGTGTTACTATAGAGGAAGAAAGAAGCATCACATGGAATTGTCATAATTCACCATATGTTGGTCACTATAGTGGAGAACAAACAGCCGGCAAAGTATTGCAAGCAGGATTCTATTGGCCTTCTCTATTTAATGCTTATGAACATGCCAAAAATTGTGATATTTGTCAAAGGGTTGGTGGAATTTCTAAGAGGAGTGAAATTCCATTACAAAGCATGCTAGATGTGGAGGTATTTGATTGTTATGGAATCGATTTTGTTGGATCATTTCCTTCTTCTTTTAGCAATGAATATATCTTGGTAGTAGTTAATTACGTATCCAAGTGGGTAGAGGCTATAGCATCACCGAAAGAGGACAGCAAAATAGTGGTGAAATTCTTGAAAAGAAACATCTTCACAAGGTTTGGTACACAAAGAATATTGATTAGTGATGAAGGCTCCAACTTTTGTAACGCACAACTTTCGATAGCTCTTGAACATTACAATTTCAAACACAAGGTAGCATCAATGTATCACCCGCAAACAAATGGACAAGCGGAATTATCCAATCGTGAGATGAAAAGAATCTTGGAAAAAACAGTTTCAACCTCACAAAAATATTGTTCATTAAAGCTTGATGAAGCTCTTTAGGAATATCGTACCGCATACAAAGAAACAATAGGCCTTACTCCATTTCAGATGGTATACGATAAATCTTTCCATTTACCAGCTTAATTAGAGCGTAAAGCTTTTTGGGCTTTAAAGTCTCTCAATTTTGACTCACAACAAGACGGTACAAAAAGAAAATTACAAATACATGAGCTTGAAGAACTAAGGCTGCAAGCATATGAATCTTCAAAGTTATACAAGAAAAAGTGAAGAGATATCATGACAGTAGAATCCTGCCCAAAGACTTCAAAGTAGGGCAAATGGTTCTACTCTTCAACTCGCGGTTGAGAGTATTTCCCGGAAAAATTAAATCAATATGGTATGGGCCATTCCAAATAAAGAATATCAAGCCTTACAGAGCAATTGAACTGGAATATCCTAACACGAATGCCACTTGGACAGTTAATGGCCATAGGTTGAAGATATACTTAGGTGGTGAGATCGATCGAGTTACCACCATAATTCCATTGCATGAACCATAAAAGCTACAAAGCGTCAAGCTAATGACGTTAAAAGAGATATTTTTCAAGAGGAAGCCTAATGTTGTAAGAATATTATTATGGTTATTCTGTTAGAAGGCATTAAAAGGATCACAAAGGGACTTGTGTAGAATTGGCTAGAACTACATAATTCTAAAATTCAGCAGAGTTTGCTAAGAGAACCTATTTCGCTAAGCAAACCACTATTCGCTAAGCAAACTAGCGGTGGTCAAAATTGTCATTATGACCATTGAATGACCCCACCCACCTCCCTACCTGCCCTATGTCTCGTAAAAGGCCACCTTTTCATTTTTTTTCACTTTTCTTTTTCACTTCCTCTCTAACCCTATAAGCCTCTTCACACACTTCACTTTCTCACTTTAGCACTAATCTACAACCATCACTATCTTGTATTATATTGTATTATTTCTTAATCTTGTAGGATTTCTTTTACTTTGTTGATGCTCTTCTTTGGAAAATTATAATGATTTTGTACATATATTATTAAGATTAGATTAACTAAGCATATTCTATGGTTCATCCTTTGTGTTTTATTTTCATAGTATATGCTTCATCCTTTGTGTTTTGTGTTCATAATATGCATCTAAATATGTCATACATAAATTTCCTTGATTAAAATGAAAAACAAATTCAGAAGTCAGCACTCTGTCAAAACTCAATTTTTTTAGAAATCGCAGAATTCGCTAAGCGAACTTGTCCTGTTACAGAAAAATCACTGCCTTAATAGATCGGTTTTCTAGTATCTTGTGTGCAGGTATGGCTCCAAAAAGAGATGTGGCTTCAAATAAACAGAAAACCTCAGGGGATGGAACTTCAAGGGGACAACAACCCTTTGACCAGACAATATTCCTAGGACCAGAACAAGAGGAAAGGTATCAGGAACTTATTGGAAGATCCATTTTGTATGAAAGAATCTTTGATATCAATCCTGAAGGACCCTATAGGTCTTTACCTGAGATGTGGACCAACCACAAATGGGATAAGCTTGTGAAACCTCACCGTAAAATCAACATTGAGGTACTTCGGGACTTTTATGCCAATGCCTTTCCCTCAGAAGGAACTGTCTTCTCTTTTTTTTCATGGGGATGTGATTAATGAATTTTTGGGAACTCCTATTTTTCAAGAGGGGAAGACATTTCGTTATCAGGAATTCATTAATACGACGCCCGATGAGGCACTGATCTCTAAGAAAATTCTTTTGAATTATGGGGAAGTGGAAACGAATCCATCTGGTGTAGCAATTAGGTATTATAGGGAGTATTTAATCCCGGAAGCTCAAGTTCTCCACTTGCTCATTCTGCACAATATCCGACCATGAAGCCACACTTCCATCTTCACAATGGATATGACTCGGTTTTTGTTTCTTCTCATGTCAGGTGGGTGAGTCGATATCAGTCAAATCATTGCTAATGAAATGAGAAATGTTGCAGAAAGCAGTAAGGAGTTTGGGGTCAGAATCAGAACCGCTCATCCTCTTGTTTATCCCGGTCTCATCATGGGATTTCTAATTGCTTATCGAGTAAGAATTCCTAATGTGGTACCATTTGAAATCAAAACTAAGGTTAATGACACATATGTGGAGAGGTATTTATTGGAAAATAAAAAGAAAAGAAGGCAAGAAGAGCAAATGCAGTAGACTTCATCCAACATTATGAACTATGCATATTGGGATCCAAGGCTCCGCCAAGCTTTCACTTATACTTGGGACCAAAATGAATCCAATCATGGAGCAATTGTTTCTTTATATGATTCTTTTTACAAGATGCAGATTCAGTCAAGAGGGCAGACTAGTACAGACCAGTAGTTCATGACGCCAGAAGAATTCGTGACACACATTGCATGGCCTGGTGTTTACAGTGATTTCTGGTAAACAACCGCTAGTCCTCCAAACTATCGAATAATCTTACTGACTGTTATTCAATTTCTCTGGTAACTCGCAGGATCGACTAGATTGATCCTAGGATGTGTTGGTCATTAGGGTAACTCTCATGATCGAACTGGTATTCATGGTCGGTATTTAAAATGTTGTATAGGTGTTTAACTTATTTCGATTTCTCTATTAAAGATCTAAAGGTGTGATCAAGTAAATGTGCGCGAAACTAAATTGCATGAATAAAGGTCAATTGTAAAGACATGTAAAAACTTCATAAAAGACAAGTAAATGACTTCAAAGCATAAAAACAGTTAATGCAAAGGATTCTCTGGAATGTAAAAGATTCGAAATATGAAGAAAGCGTTTAAATGCAAGAAAATTGTAAAATGACTTTAAGTAAAAAAGGTGTTCGAATGATAAAAATTTGAAGATAAAGGCATGAAATGTATAACAGTTTCTGAAATGTAAAGTATTTGAAATGGAAAGAAAGCATTTAAATGTAAGGCATCAGTAAAAAGACTTCGAATGAAAACATTTTAAATGCAAAAGCTTGTAAATGGTATTGACATGAAGATAAAGGAAAGTATTGGAAATGATAAAGAGTTTTCATTAAATCATAAACATGTGGTGTTATCATACGTACATTGCTCGTGCATTCGTTTCCCTAGCCATGTGGTATTTTGAATGTTTACTGAGTTTTTTATACAATAGATATGACACACGAAATCCTAATGCTAAGACTTCTATTTATACTACTTCGACCATAACGGTCTTGCTATAAGATTCTGCCACGTTCAGAACATGCAGAGAAATGCCTCTCTCTTGCTTCCACACGTCTTCGAATGCTCCAGCGCATATATTTCAAATTTCGAACATCCTGCTTGCATTTGAATTTCAAATGTTTTGGCACTTCTTCGCTTCGAACGCATTTCTTAGACACAGCTTTGTTATCATTTCGAGACTTCTTTGAATATATTCTCCTAACTGCCACTCGAAGCTCCCAGCTTTGATATGGCCATTCGAAGCACTGCTTCTACCATTTCGAAACATGACGTTTTGTTTCATTTCAATCGAAACGTCCAATTTACTTTGCTTCTAATAATATCATCAAAATCTTCAGCCAACAAAATACCCCTTTAAAATATGTATTTCGATTCCTTTGAGAAATACTTATTTTAAACATATACCCAAGATTTTGATGCGACCTTCGAATCATCGTAACATTTATTGCATATGACTCCAGTCACGTCAATCACAACGCTTTTCAGATTCCTTAACCGCCTTGAACCATTTCACAGCATGGTGCAGTTACAAAACAATGATTATCTTTAATCACGCCTATTACCAATATTAACTTTACGCCACCTCTTCATCAAACCAACCCACGACTACCACGTATCACAATCTCACTCAGTGGATGCTTAAACTTCCACATTATAAAAACCCATCAACTTAGTCTTTTCTTTTCTTCCCACATTCTGAATCTTTTCTTCCTCTTTTCTCACCGAAACCCTAAACTTCCAACATTCTTCCAACAATGTCTTCTTCAACTTCATCTCAACTAAAAAAGGTTTCCAAAAAGAAAGGAAAGACCATAGGAACCACAATGGAAAGCAAGGTTGGCACCTACCAAGGTCAATCTGTTCTTGTTCCCCAGATGATCTCAAAAGAGAAAGAAATGCTTTATGCATCCCAGGTACTAATTCCTACTAACGCTGCTGGCAAGAGGTTAGCTTTAATGGGCCCTCTTACAGTCTTTGAAATTTTAAAAGACACCAGAAAATTTTTTCCAGTTTGCTATAATTTCAAACCTCTGTTTAATAAAATGGATAGCCCCAAGACTATAGAGTCTTCTGATTCAACCAACGTAGAAAATCCAATTGTTCCTCCTAAGGACCCTTTCGTACTAGATTATGTAAAGAGTAACTTCAAACCGTTTCGATCTTGCCCCACCTCCGACACAGCCTATCACAACTGGTTTAATAAGGTAGAAGCTAAGAAATCCCAGCAATGGGAAGAATTAGGTATCTACAACTTGATTAAACTGTCGAAACCAGGTTTTACTTATAGCCACCCATTGTTATTCGCGTCCCTATATTTCTGGGACAATACTTACAATACTTTCCATCTCCCTGGTGGAATGATTACACCCACCTTTTTTGACATAGCAGCCATTACTAGGCTATCACCAATAGGAGAAACATATATCCCTGACAATGAAGAGTATTCGAGTATTATCGACTTCGAAGTCAAGCTAGCTAGCTTTTCAAAGTTTATCAGCCACTATCACACCGAAGGAGACAGTGTGTCAGATGTGGAACACATTGCTTTCCTTACCTTATGGTTGTCAAGGTATGTCTTTTGCAGCAGATCCCTACAGGTAGCCAGTAGGTTTATTCCTCTAGCTAGAGATTTGCATGAGAATCGGAGGGTGTGCTTAAGCGAACTGCTATTAGTTGATCTTTATGAAAGTCTAAGGTCAGCTGTTTCGAGTCTAAAATCTCACACCTCCAAGAATATCCTGCTAGCTGGCCCTTTCTGGTTACTTCAGTTATGGCTAAATGCCATGTTCGAACCCTCACTATCAACTGCCAATACTATTGCTGAACAAGACCCTGAAATAGAGGATAGAATCATCGAAGGCACTAGGCTGCGAAGACTAACCCCAAACGATGATAAGGATGACTTCAAAGTTCTATTCTCAAAATATATCATGATATTCTCCAAGAGGCATAAGTTCGAAGAGACCATGGCGCCTTTTGCTTCAAGGGCTCATGGACCTTCATGGTTCACCATGGCTCTCTCAGAAGCTGTCAAAAGCAAAGAAATTCAAGATGTATGGAGAGCCTTTTTGCTACCCAGACTAATCTCTTCAAGAATAACTCCTGCTAAGAATCAAATTTTCCTTTTTGCTTATCAGCCCAACTTCGTTTCGAGACAGTTTGGCTTGTGCCAACTAATTCCTGAACCCCTATTCCAAACGGAAAATGCCATTACCTCTGGGCGAACCTTCAAGGCAAGAGAAGCCAAACTACAGCAGGAACAATACCAAGGCTTCGTCCATTTTGAACTAATAACTTTCGAACCTACACACCTTACAGCAAAGGGGTTTCTGGAATGGTGGACAAAGTTCTATCAAACTTATATGTTCGATACTCTTACTATTCAGCAGAAACTAACTGATGTATTTGATGTGCATGTACCATCCAAGAAAGGTATGTTTACTCATGCCAAAGAGATTAAGGCTTTTCAAAATTATTTCGAAACTACTTATGATCCCACACACTTGGAATCCACGGTGCATCAAGCGGCTGAGACCTTGAAGGAAAAATTCAAAGAAAAAGTTTCTAAGTTAAAACTTCCTTCAGGGTTGTCACCTGAGGATAGGTATAGGTTGGCATTCGAAATGCACCCACCTAAATTTCCTAGATTACCTACCTCAGAACTGGCTCTGGCTTGGTTTCCTCCATACCCTTGGTGGTTCACTTGCAAAGAAATGTTCAAATATCTTCAAAAGAAACCAAAGTCATCTGAGACTGTGACATGGGCTCGACACTGGCTCCACGATTTCCCAGGACATCTTCGCTATGACCTTTCTGCCATGTCGATTAAATCTGATCAAGGCACAGGTGCGAATGCTTGGGAAAATCCCAAACGTTTCTCATTTTCTATATCTTTAACTTTTGCCTTAATTGTTTCGATTTTCAGCCATCAGGATAAAGACTGCTGCTTCAAAGTCAAAAGAAGGGAGTGCCTCTCAAGCCTCTGTCGAAACCATTGACAATGTGACTCCATCCGAACCAACAACAATTGCCGCAACAACAACAACAACAACACCAGTAATAACCAGTGCTCCAACTCCACAGGTAATCACTTAGCCTTGATGTTCGAATACACTAATGCTTCATGATTTGCATCTAACTCTTTGTTAAAATCTTTTCAGACCAACAAACTTCCGCCTACCACTCCAAAGAAGCGAAAATCAAACACTACTGGGGAAGACCCCAAGGCTGGAGGGAATTTACCAGCTGCTTCGAAGAAGAAGCAGAAGAAGGAAATTTCCAAAAGTGTTGTACCAACTAGTGTCTCTGGACTCGATTCCAGGGATGCTGCTCCCTCACCTAAATCCAAAATTCCACCTTCGACCTCCAACGTAATGTTGGAACGCATAGCTAGCAACCTCTCTTCCGAGAGTCCACAGGTAAATTGAACTTTAAATCTT